GTTGATTGTAGAGCCCTGCGCGGGACTATTTTTTTAATCCCGCTCCCGCCCACGACAATCTAAAACCCGCCCAATCCCGTGAGATTTGCGTTGGGTCCCGCGGGATCCCGCTCCCAATGCAGGGCTCTACTGTAATGTGATGTTGGTCATTGTGTTTTGGGAGCTTTCATTGGCCCTTTGAAGTGAAGGGTTGTTTGATTGACACAGGATATCTGAACATTGTTGCTGACTGGGAAACTTCTTCATGTGTCTGAAAAATTTCCAGAAGAATAATATTCCATTCAGCAAGGCAAGAATTGTTCTGGAAGATTAATGGTTAACATTAATTAATACTGTTTACAGCAGTGACCTTACTAGTCTATGGATACAATATAATTAAACATCTGTGGAACTGGAGTGGAGATAAACTTTCAGGAAATTTGCACCCACTACAGGACTCACCGTAGTGCTCTTTCAGCTCCTTGTGGAATCCATGATCTAATGAATGCAGGCTTTTATGAGGGCCAAATATAGCTATTATATATGATTACCTAATAAAGTGGTCACTCAACATGCATACACTACAGACAATCTGCAGGCAATGAACGAGATCTGTTGCCTAAATCTGTCTTGTTTCTGTCCTGTACAGCTTCATTAATTAATGCCAACAAAGCCAAAATCATCAGTTTATTTGATTTTTTTTTCTTTTCTGTTCTCCCTACAGTCATCTGCAGACGTCAATGAGAGGTAACTAAATGATATTTGCTTTGATTTCCTGTTCAGCATTTTAGATGTTGATGGATCCAGATCCACTTAACTCTGGCACAGATATTATAAATATGCGTATCTTACTTACCCTGGTTGCTGCTGCTGCTACAGTATTGTTTTTGGGAAGTTAATTTGGCTCTGAGTTTATTTTCCACCTGAAATTTTAACTGTGCACGCCATTTGTATTTATTCAACTAATCAAAAATAAACCCAGAGTAAAATTAATGACCTGTACTTTGTGATAAAAAAAAATCTTGAAAATTCATAGACATTTTGTACTTGCTTGAAAATGCTGATTTATCTTTTTCCGATGAAAAAAATAATTGCAAAAATGTAGATTAAAATTCTTGATAATTTTGCAAATTTATGTATTTCTTTGATGGCATGAATATGTCCTTTTAAAGCTGTATCTGTCAATGAGAGGCTGGCGTAATGCAGTCCTCTAAGAATTCAAAAGTTACTGAAACACTGTGCGAAAGGATGACGTTGTCTGTGTTGGCAGGCTGACCTCAGCCTTGGAGTCCTGCTTGTCTCATGAACTTACCCCCAGTGCTTTCCCTATGTTTGAGGACTATTCTAAGAACGCTTCCGGGTGTAGGCGCAAGGAGCTTGAAGGCATCGCAAGTAAGTTAGCAGTCACACTTCACAATATGCATCTCCACAAAGTGCATTTAAGCATTTGCATTCTTCTGTGATTTATCACGTGCAGATTTATCCTTAACACTAGCGTAATAGCTAGGCATTTGGAAAAAGTTGTTGACCAAACTCAGAGGGATTTGGATCATTAATGCTTTAACCCTTGCTCTTGTGTCACATATTATTTTACCTGTAAATATCTGAGAATTCTCCTCCTCAGTCGTTGAAACAAAATAGCTTGTACAAATAACTAAAACTATCTGAACGCTATTTCATTTTTGTTAGAATAGGACTAACATTTATCATTTATTTCTTCGTCCATGATGGAGTATTCGGCATATTTTACCGTGTTCTGTTTTTATAAAAATCAGGGGGGAAATGGGTTATATAAATGTCAGTAGGGCTGCTGAAAACTTAGGGTAGGCTGTGAGGTTTGATAAGTCTATTTGCCCACCTCCCCCCCCAGTCCCTCAGAAGCCCCACCTGCAACCACAAGAAGCAAACTCTGCCACGAGTACCTCTGTCACAGTCTACTGGAAAGTCAATGAAGGGGATGTCATCGACTGCTTCCAGGTCTACTGCATGGAGGAGCCTCATGCAGGTACTTACATTCACATTTCACACGACTTATTCTCTGGTCAGTTCCCTGTCGGGAAATAAATGTTCAGCAGTCACTTCTAGTAAAGTTCCTTTTGCCTACATTGTCCCCAGGGATGCACAATAAATCTGCATTGTGACAAATGTAATAAAAACACGAGTGAAACATTGGTACTGTTCTGCTGTCTATGACTGCAGTATAATTCATACATTTATGTGGTAAATCTCTTAATTACCCAAATGTCCTTATAGCCCCGTAGCATAAACAAAGGCAATCACATAAATTTAAAGTTGAATTACAAGATTTTAGTGCGATAGCTATGATACGTTTTTTATACGTGTAATATGTGTTTAATATGTTTTAAAGCTGTTTTTGTTGAGTAAGTGAGGGAGGTGCAGTGGTGCAGTGGTTAGCACTGTTGCCTCAAACCTCTGGAATCTGCCTTCATGTCTCTGCCATGGCTCTCTGTGCGTGTGCAGCTTGCCTGTCCTGCCTGTGTCATTGTGGGGGTTCCTCTGGGTAACTCTGGTTTCGCTCCACAATCTAAAAACATGCCGAGGTTAATTGGAGTTGCCAAATTTCATATAGATGTGTGAGTGTGCCCCCTACGATGGGTCGGCACCCCATCCTTTGAGCCCATAGGCTCCAGACCCCCTGTGACCCCGAATAGGACAAGTGGGTACAGAAATGGATGGGTGATTTCTGAGTTATACTTAGGATGCAGAATCAGAAAATTCAGTTTGAAATAGGATAGAACAAAGTATTAATAATTCATATTGCTTAGGCAGTTTTGGAGTCTTTTGTCACTATGAGGATAATAGAAGGAAAGTAGACCTGAGCAGGAATCACATGTCATTACTAGATGAAGATCTTGATCGCTTCTTGTTGGTGTGTGACTTTGATCTCAGCTCTAACAGAAGAGTACCGAGTGACGGTGAAAGAGAGCTACTGCTCCCTGGAGGATCTGGACCCTGATAAGAGTTACAAGGTCTGGGTTATGGTTGTCAATTACACAGGCTGCAGCCTACCCAGCGAGAAGCTCACCTTCAGAACTGGTCAGTGCACACTCTGCCTTTATAACTTATTCATTTCCTAAATCAGATTCTGATTTATTAACTTGCTTAGCTTGCTTAAACTATTTTGAACATAGATCACGCTTTATTTGCTTGGATTATACATTGTAATCTACTCCCCACCTAATGTAATTACACTGCCCTGTTTGCTCATTGAAACTCTTCAGCTAAACTTCGTGAAACAAAAGAATAATTATTGCGGAACTATTTTTGTACTTATAAATGTTAAATCAAGTAAAGCCTGACCCAAGCAACTCAGAAATCAGATTAGTGCTTCTCAGTGTAGCGTGATACTGTGATAATAAGCTCATTTTTCATCTTGTTGAAAGTGTTCACAAATAATCTAACAATGTGGCACAAATTCATGCTGAAGAAATAATCAAAAATGCATCATAATAGATGATAAAAATGATGATAGTTGGACATATAGAAGTTCAGAGGTCAAGGATGATTGTGTGCCATTCTATAGATGATTTGTTATTTGTTGAATCAGGAAAAAAAACTATTTTTATCAATTAAGTAGGGAATGTATGAATATGGAAGGTTATCAATCAGTTCTGGTGACTGAGATGCTTTGGGTAGTTGATTAATTTATTTTGGTAGCTACCTGAACCTTGCTTTATAATGAATGTAGCTACTGTAGTTCATAGCAATACAGCATGGTGTTTGTTTATAAGTGTTTCTGTGCACTGAGCGAGTGGCCGTCCCATGCCGCAGCGCCCTCCGTGCCGGTCATCGAGACAGAGCGCTGCACGGTGTGCTGGGACTCAGCCGTCATCCGCTGGAGCCCCGGCCACCCAGAGACTGCAGAGAGCTTCACGCTGGAATACTGCCGCCAGTATGCCTGCGAAGGCGAGGGCCTCAGGTGGGCGGAGCTCTCTACATGTACACGCCCACCTGGCATGGCCACACAGTGAGCGAGATGTGCAACAAACAAACACGAGCAAAGCAAATGTGTACAAAAGTTACTCTGAGAACAGCACCTTGCAGATTCATGACTACAGCCCCCATTTGTTATGCTAAATGCAACTGTATGGCTTTCACCCATATTATACAAATGTTATTTTTTGGAATTAGAACATTTACTTTTCTTTTTCTCTCCAAGTACCAGTCTCTTAGGCAAAAATACCAACATACTGTATGAAAAACACACAGAAAAAGTATTACATCCTTACTAAGAATGTAGATTTCTTTTTCCCCATTATTGGTCAGTTTCTATTACATCTCTTCAGTTCATCATTTCCAATATATCTTATAGCCAAATATCGCTAAACTGAGCATTTTATTAATAATATTTATATTATATTGCTCCATTCTAATTATTTTCTTTAGATTCCTTTTGCCATTATTCTAAGTTACCTTCCTATAATAATTTAGTTCCTGTGTGTTTTATTTTAAAAATCTTTCTTCCCTTCATGATATTTAGTTAAATGCCATGTTTATAATATTTCTCTCTAGCTTGACAGTAAAGGATTGGATTACAGCAAACCCTGTGGCTTGCCTGAGTGTTTAATGAACACCATGTTCTCCTGTGAAGGTCCATCTCTGGCATAAGAAGCTGTGAGCAGAAGGTGCTCCTGCAGCCAAATGAGAGCTACCTGTTCTACATAAAAGCAGTGAACACTGCTGGAGCCAGTGACCAGAGTGAAGCCACTCTCATCTCCACTAGAGGTACACCTCTACAGCCAGACCCACTGGCTCACTAAACCAACCAGTGAGTCTTAGCTCTGACATTTAGTGTTCACACTTTTATTGACCAGGTATTCATTTATTTCTGCGTTCCTCACATCAATGCCCATTCTGTTTTATAATACTCAGTAACATTTTTCATGGTGTCATTCCATCATAGCTACTGCACGCTGCACCCTAGAGCCAAAGTCAATGCCTTGATTTAGAGACCTACTTCGTGTTTCATGCTTTTTTCAACATTCATAACAAGGATCTACCAGTAACGTAACAAATGCACGCATGTTAAGATTAGCTAGAGCATTACCATTGTAGCAGTTAGCACCATGTGAATCATCAGAAACAAGTATATTAAAAGTGAATACATAGAAGACACAGAAGGAATTGAAGCAAATCAAAACAGTTAAGTTGAATCATTTTGAAGAAACACTTGTGGGGTCCGCTGGCTGACCAACTTACGTAAAATATTTCACCTCATCACATTTTGTGGTCAAAATCTGTGCTGCAGAATTTCAAACACTGGAAAGGTACAAATAGACCAGTTTTTAAGGGAATGTAAATAGTTGCATATGTTGAATTCTTTGAAATTGCTTTAGTTCTGCAATATTGAAGTTTAAACTGGGAATGTATATTTTGTCATCAATATTTGTCATCAATATTGTTTCCTTAAAGGATTGACTTATACATGTATATAATGTTACAGACTGGTTGCTTTCACCACTGTACTTTTCACTCTGCTGACTTTGTTTGGAATCGTTATCTTTGGGAAAGTGTCTTTAGATTTTATCTTTTCACAGTCAGATCAGAGGCTGTTGTTTGCCACTGACCCTGTCACTGGATCCCCCACCACCAGGCACCAGGTTCCACCTGCTGAAGAACACTGGCCACCCGGCACTGGAGCTGTCCGAAGACATGAACACTGTGCATTGGCGTGACGAGGCCTTTGCCCAGACGGGTGCAGACAGGTAAGAGTTCCCTACACCCACACCTCACAGCTTGCTGTATTGGGCACTGCACCTCTTCTCAGTGATAATGCTCTCAGGGACATGCTCAGGTATCCGGGAATCTTGGGAGAGGTCCTGCCCCCACGAGGGTACCATTACTGGGAAACGTCAGTGTCGGACTGCAAAGCCTACAAGATTGGTGTGACCTATGACTCCACGCTCCACTACAGCCCACTGGGGGAGAACAGTACTTCCTGGTGCCTTCACTGCATTCCCACATCAGACAGGTATTTTCTTTGTTGTTATTGTTCACTGTATTTATGCAGTTATATTTGTAAAATTCCTTCAAATATCCCCATATTAGCCATGCTGTCAAAAGAACATTTGGCTTTGTAGTGTAATATGCAATGAAACCCAGTCAGTTTTAGTTACGTGATCTTTGTAATTAACTTCTTAATTAACCATTTAAAATTAATCATGAATCACTCATTTTTTTAAACACATTTATACATGGACGTTTATCATGGAGTATATAGGAATCAGCATAGTATTGCACCTGTTTTGGACCATGCTGCTTTAACAATCACCCAGTATTATTCTTTAGTTTAGCCATGGCCATCTTCATGATGTCACATGAGATGGCATGAATGTTGCTTCTACCAGAGTTGGTGAGCAGATACATGCAAGATGTGGATGGGTGGATGGAACAGAGGACTCTATTGGGGTTTTGGGGACAAGGTGACCCTTTCATCATTGGAACGGGGAAGAATATAGGGTAATAAAAACAGATGTAGCTTTTGGGGAAGAATGAAGAGATTTAACAGTCAGAGCAAAAGAGAAAAACAGAATTTTGATATCGTTAGTCAGACTGCAGGTGATGGTCACCTGACATCACGGGGCTGCCACGCCCCCTTCCCCAGCCTACGTATAGTTACCAGGTTTGCATTCCTCTCACTTTCCCCCTGTGTCCCCAGCTGCCACTTTGAGCTCCTCCACGACAGCCTGCAGACCAGCATCATTGCTGCGGTGGCCCCCGCCAGGATCGGCACCATGCTGGACTTCACTCGCGGGAGGCTGTCCTTCTTCAACAGCGAGAGCGGGCAGCTCCTGGGCTCCTCCCTGCACCCGTACTCTCGGGCCTGTCACCCGGCGCTGGTGCTGGAGCAGCCCGGCAGCCTGGCCCTGCACGCGGTCTTGGAGGTGCCTGAGTTCGCCAAGCACTGCTAGCCCTTGTGGGCGTCCACCCCACTAGCTTGGATGGACTGTTTGGGTGTCTCTTACCCAAGAAAATAAAGAAGGGGGAAAAAAATAGTTTTCCCAGTTCTAAATTTCTGTTTCCATTCGTTTGTGTCATTATTCACAGTCTGTAATATGTTAGAGCACTTTTGGTATAAAGCTTAGTAAATAACTAGTATTAAGGAAGGTTTTATTTTTTAAACTGAACACAGTGTAGTTTTTGTTACCCATAATGCACAAATGCACTACATTTCTTCAGAAGACATAAGGCTGTGTGATATTAGTTAGATATTTAGAAAAGCTTTGTATATAAGGGGTTACAGACAGTGAATCTGGTGAATTTTTATTCTATTTTCAAAAAGCATATTTGAATATCCTGAAAGAAAATAATGTATTTTCTCAGTTTTTTATGCTAGTTGTGGGGAAAAAAATGGAAAAAATGCACATTGTGCAATACAAGGCAAGAAGCAGCATTTAGGGATTTTTTTCAGGACATTTTAAAGGAAGATATTTTCTTGAAGAATCGCAGCGAGGTTGGTGCTGGCCTGGTGCTGCGGGGGTCAGGGCACCATGTGGAACATCCAGCGGGTCTGTATGGCAAAGTGTGATGGCCGCCGGGTGTGACAGTGACATAAAGGGCTTCCATCTGCATTTGTATCGTTTCCCTTAAGAGTCTGTCAGGTTTCTTTCTTATTTAGACAATCTGTCATCCAATTCTAAATGATCTGAGCTATAATGAGTTGTGTGCTTGAATTTGCAAACATCTTTATTTATGAAATGAATGTATTGGAAACCATTTGGATTGTTAAATATATTTATTCCCGGACTGTATGCGCATTTTCCTTTTACATTTTTAAGCCAGCTGATTGTTAATAGGGGTAATTCATTTTACCATTCAGCTTTGAACTGTGTTTTCATTATTTAAACACTTTGAACTTGGATGACTTGTCACACCTATGCTGAATTTTTAATCAGATAATAGAGCCTGTTCTGTGTGGTACTGCCTGGTCTTGCTGATCTAGTGGTACTGGCTCGGAATCTTATTTAAGAAAAGCATTGTTATTGCTATTGTTTAAACATTAGCATTGTCATTGCCTTTTGAGTGTCGGGTGTAGAGCTTCGCTTGGTTCAGAGTCTAGTTATATGGGGCTGTGTTTAGGTTGTTTCGGTTGTGCGTTACACTTGGATTTTCAGTTGCCGGCATTTTCACTGGCTTTGCAATTCTGATTCCTGATGGTTCCTGATGGACAGTGTCTTTTTCCTGGTTTCTGCTCCTGGTTAGCTGGCATCTTGTTCCTTTTTCCTGCTCCTGGTTAGCTGGCATCTTGTTCCTTTTTCCTGCTCCTGGTTAGCTGGCATCTTG